TGGGGGGGGGTGGGGGGGCAGAGAAAATCACCACTCGCCTGCCTGCGATACCACTGCAGCTGGGACCTGTCGGTACACGAGCCTGCCAGCCCACACCCCGTGACCAAGGCTGACGGGAACAAGAAAGGCATAAAACTCACACTGAAAGAGTCACTGCTCCCTCGTGCACTATCTGCGCTCTTCTAGCACAAGTACTCACCCTGCATTTAACTCGAATCTTTCCCCAGACCCTTTGTACGCAAGTACAAAGCGTCTCTTCGCTCCCACATCATCCGCACGCCCTCCCTTTGCCATTCCCACTGAGGGCACCCAGCGAAGCCGCTGGAGAGACGTCCGTGGGACGGCGCTGCCAACATCACGACACGCCAGGCAGAAAGGAAGGTGCCAAGGGGCTTTGAGCCTCTGCTGAACAACAAGGAGGAACTGCTTTCCCAGCATACGGGAACTCAGCAAACAGAGCCCGGGCAAAATACAGCCTGAACGGGGAGAAGGGCTTGTCCTCCCTCAGCCAGACAGCCCCGGCGGGAGTTTGGAAGGAGATTGGGAATTCGACTGCGTCCTTCCAGCAGACACCTCGGCTCCAGCAGCAGTCCCAGCCAGTGAGATCTTCCTGCGCATACCCACAGGGCACAAAGAGGTTAAACCCAAGGTTGCCAGAGAGAAGGTGGTCTGACCCCCGCTACGAGACCTCTGCCCTTAACAGATACTCCACCGGTCCTTTCTTCCCATAATGCTCCAGCCGATTTAATGGTTTGTCACCCTTCCAAGCCTGCCCGCAGCTTCACCCAGGACGCACACGCGTCCGTGGCTCTTCCACTGCCAGACACACTTTAGCTAATTGCACAGAGAAAACCACACTGTGATCAGGCTGATGGGGAGTGCCGTGCTCTGAGCTGCAGGCTAACCTTGCATAGGAAGGGTGGGAAGGGACGGAAAGGATGAAGATACCCGCATGTTAAAAGAAAAGCAGTCACCCAGGTAAAACTCTCGAGTCTTCCAGCAAGAAGGATGTCAATTTTGTGCTTTCCAGCCGCAGCTCTCCAGGGACGGTAACAAGCTGTGACTTGTGCTGAAGTGCCAGAGGAGGAATACACACATCGCAGGCTGGTGACATTAGCTCAGATGTTTCTTAATGCATTACAGAGCCACCAAACGAGTGTCATCCTCTGTTAGCAGAGATCAGCTCCGAAGGTTGCTCTCAGAGCAGGAGGGGGTGGCATTTAAAGAAACCCCAAAACGCAGCAAAAGCAAACAACAGGACAGTCGTCTCGTGACAGTGAATCTCATGACAGCAGGCACTGCATTCTGAACATTAAGCTTCCCTACGCTCAAGTATTAACGTTGACGTGCATCGCTGCCCCGTCAGCGAGACCACCAGATGGCCAGGCAGAACCACCGAACCCCAGAACAGAAAGAGAGCTCTGCGCTCTCACTTATTTCACTGAGGCTCCGGTGGTCACCTGCGGGGGGGAAAGGGATTAAAAGGGGCGCGCGGGGGTTGATCTCAGCACGTCCCAAAGGCTTTCAGCCACTCCTGCCTGCTGGCGGTGCAGGAATTCTGAGGTGCTGCACGGGTGCGCTGCGGTGCCATTAATGTGTTACTGCCATCGCCCGGAGAGCCGGGGAAGAGCTGTAAGAGCTGCTCAGCGCTGACAGCATCCTCCTACACACACCGCCATCCCCTCCTCCGGGTGCTGTAGCTGAGAGCGACGCGAGTCCCTCCTGCGGCATATGGCCGCAGCCGGCAGCGCTATTTCCATGCCAGCACCACCCGCAAAACAGCTACTTCTCCAGGGAAGTTTGACTCCTGCGAACGGTTTGGTTTCTGTCCTCTCTAGGATGAGGATGGAAAGTCATTTACAATCTGAGTCACACATCCCGTCCCTGCCGGGATGCGACGGGGCACAGGCAGCTTCTTCCGTTCTCCGTGGGGATATTCCAGCCTGATGGCAGTGGAGAAGCAACTGAGGAAGGTTTCACTGATTTATTTTCCCCCAGCAACCCGCTCACTCCTGTCTGTTGGCCACTTGCTCACCTACACAAAGCCCCAGCCTTTGCTTAGGCTGTGGCAGTGCCTGCGTGAGGCTCCTGCAGCAGGAGGAGCCCCCGTGCAGGTAGTTAGACTCGGAGCCCTTCTGGCAGGACAGCTCCCCATCTGAGCGGAGACTTTTGCTGCTGTGAGCTGCAGGTCCCCAGGGGGGGCGCGGGGGAAGCAAACGCACTAAAACGCAGCATTCGGGTGAAATTCAGACCTAGAGACTACGGCTGGGAGATGCAGGGAGAGGGGATGGCTGAGGTGCCGAGTGGAAACAGCCTCACTTGTTTCTCTAAAACCCAGTCTGAGGCTCTGGGACGGACCCTGGTTTTCCAGTTAGCAATTCCAGCTCACAACACAGCTCCCCTCTCCAGACTCCCATGCCCCTTGCCTGCAGGAGGCTGTTTTGGAAGCCCAGTCAAATAGGTCACTGTTGGCCAAGGTTTAAGTAGAGCAATAATAAGTCCTTGTTCCAGGAAGTAATTAGGCAGCATTACAGGATTGTGTTGGGGAACAGCACACAGGACTCCAAATTCCAAACGTCAAGGCACATATTAGGGGTGAACTCACGCAGACGTACACAGCACGCGGCTATCGAGGTCACCGGGACGCGCTGGCTTCCTGCCTGCCCAGCCAGCGTGCTCGAGTACCGACACACAAAGTTCAGTAAGCACCGAATTCACAGAGCAGCACAAACCCAGTAACCCCATAAATCCCATTTAGGTCATCAGTAGAAGCCCTGTCTGGTTAGCACGAGGGTAAAGAAATCATTTCAGAAGAGGCAGCTAAGTTATCACCAACAATTGTTTCTAGAAAAATCCACAAAACCAGAAGGTAGATTTGTCTAACGCAGATGCAGGACAACGTCAAAACCCAAATAACCCAGAAATGAGCACTGAAGTGCTCTGTTTAACTGAACACCAAGGCAAACGTGCACCCAGGGCGGAGCAAGCTGGTAAGAGCAAACCAGAGAGAATCTTTTGAGAGACATGTCCTGACGTGTGGCACACCAAGTCAGGGAGGGGGAAAAAAAAAGCTTTGTAACCCTTAACCCTGCTGATTTCTTTTTCCTTCTACCAAAATATCAAAGAAGAGTTAAGAAAGGAAAAGAAAGGGAAAAAAAAGCGCTAAAGAAATGCTTGGTCAAAAATCAAGCCCTGCAGCAGAGTTCCTCATCTTTTACTTAATTCAATTTTAAACGATTCCAACAATAAAGCTTTTGCTGCCTCCCTCGGGAAGTCAGCTCTGAGATCCACCAGATTTCTGAATTACACATCAAAGCTTACACTTACTCCCACACTCAGCTTCTTTTAGCTCCCAGAGAAGCCACTAGTTCCAGCTCTTCTGCCCAAAACTAAGCGCAGGACAACGTGTGGAGAGACAGCTACAGCTGGGGGACAGAGGAGGAGAAAGCAACCCTTTTTGGGCAAGCCTGGATCTCACGGGCTTAGCAAAGGACCAGCTAGAAGATACCCTTCTACCTGACTAGCCATTCACCTTCCTTTGTTCCTTCCTCATCACGTGTTTGTCTTCATCCTTCCAGTAGGCATCTTCCAGCTCCTGCTGACGTTTGGCATCGGCTGCTGCCTTTGCCTCAGCTTTCCTCGCGCGGGCAGCAGCCGACTTGGTATTTTCACCTTGGAACTTCTTGGGCATCACTCAAGGTGCTCTGCGGAGAAGAAAAGAGGTTCAGATCCTTGCCCTGGACAGGATCTCGCGTTCACCGTCACCCCGGGAATCAGGAACAGCTGGAACTCACACCATGAAAATCCCCTTTTCTTATTGCCTCATACTATTTCGAGATCCTGGGCAGGACAGATCTAGCAATCTCCCAGCTCACCCAGGAGGAACTGCGCTCACTCTGCCCCAGATCCTCAGTGGGGGACAGTCCCTCCTGCCCATTTATTGCGCTGCAACGACATGACAAATCGGGCTGCTGGGTTCCTGGTACCAAGTCAAAAGCACCACTGCCCTGCAAGCCAAAACACTCTCTGTTGCCGAGTCAAAACGAAGCTGGGTGCTTTCGCTGTGCACCGGCAGGCTCCGAGGGGAATTCACTGCTGCCAGCAGAGCAGGATGAAGCAGCACAAACGCTGTATCACGCCCTCTGACTGCCTGTACAGAAACGCCGAGGCCCCATTTAACTTGGATAAATGGCCACGCGGACGTGCCGTAGTAATTTCTCCCGCATCCTCATGGTAGGAAAAGTCCTAAGAGCCAGGCACAACAGAAGCCTCAAAATTAACTAGGCACTAAGAAAGGGCCTTCTCCTCAGCACGCTGCCCACACAGACACCACGTTCTGGATCTCAAATCTTTACTTCGAATGGCAGATAACTATTCGCTAAACAAGAAACAGCGGAGAAGGGCTGACGTTTAGGCCTGGCTGTTCAAGCCCCAAGCTTTTCAAAGCCTGGGCTGGATTAAATCTCTTCTCCTCTCCGATACGTGCCCTGACCCTTTCTTGAACAGCACGATCTGGGCTGGGCCCCGGGGCAAGGCTGCGGGACAGCCCAACAACGCGTGGGAGGGCGAGGGATGCCTCCCCCACCCCAGGAGCTGCTCCTACAGCCCCAAGGGCCCAGCCCCGCTCCAGCTCCCGCACCCAGAGCCAGCCTGCCCCGAGCTGCCCGACCCAAGGGCTGGCTGTCACCTGCCCAGGCCGGACCCCTGCTCCGTGCCAGCGTCCCCAGCGCCCCACGCTGCTCCTACCAAGGGCTCAGCCCCGCTCCGCTCCCGCACCCAGAGCCAGCCTGCCCCGAGCTGCCCGACCCAAGGGCCGGCTGTCACCTGCCCAGGCCGGACCCCTGCTCCGTGCCAGCGTCCCCAGCGCCCCACCTCACCTTGGGGCCCTACAGAGCACCCACCCCGGCCCTCCCCTCCCACGACAGAGCACCCTCGGCTGCCCTTCCCCGTTTGCTCAGGAAAGGGACGGCTTTTCCCCTCCACCCCCTCCCCAAATGCCCGGCCTCTCCCCACCCGCACCCCTCCAGCCCTTCCCCTCTCCCC